TATCATTTACTTTATGTTGAAAACATTTAAAAATTTGATTCTTTTATTTGATATATTGGGTGTCTCTTTAGCCTTTGGTCTGAAATTCCATAAGCACATATTTTCATTCTTCTATTCACAAAGTTGTAGAATTTTCAATCTAAAAAGTACCTAAAATATCATAAAATTCAGCTCCCTTATTTTAGGATGAGGAAACTTGGGTCCAGATGGGATAAAATAACTCTCTCATGGTTACACAACTCATTAACAGAAAATTATGACTGTCCTAAAAGATGGATTGGTAGCAAGTCTGTGAACCAAGACTGAGACACATATAATCACCAGTAATACTTGGTGGGTGCTAGAATATTGAACAATATGCTTGGGGTGCAGTTGTCCCACTATATCTGAACATGCATTATTCTCCATTATTTCCACAGGTACTGACATATCTTAACAAAATCTAACAGACCTTTCACACTGTCAGATGAAGAAGTAAAGTTGCCTTGGAATGACTTTTTAGTGAACCATACTGTCTACTTGTAATAAAAGATATTCATTTCTAAGTAATTAGTAAAATTATTTATATACATCAGTTTATTTTCTAGTTTGTCCTTTCCATAGTCCTTTTGAAAAATCAAAACATTTTCCCACTTCCATTCCTCCAATATTTCTGTTTTATTCAATAAATCAAAATAAGTAATATATTTAAACGCAAACAAACTCAGCCATCTGAAATTTTTAATCGTACCTAAATAACAAATGAGCCAACAAGGCTATTTAGAAAATGAGAGAAAACTTTCATGCTATTGTTAAAACCAAGCGTATATGTAGCTTTAAATGCTTTTATTGGAAGACAGGGAGAATAAAGGATGAATAATTGAATGAATGAACGGAAGTATTCAACCTTGGAAAACACAAGGAAAAGAAATAACAAAAATATATATAAATTAGAATATAGAGAAAAATAATTTGAAATAAATTGAAGTGATTCTTTCACAAAAGTATAGCTAAGCATCTAATAAGATTTTATTGCAGAAAAAGTGAAATAAACAAATATTAGATATTATCAAATCCAAAAAATAAATACAGAGGAAGAAAGGAGATAAACTAGAATGTTGTAAATACTTAGATCCAGGAGGGAAAAGGTTGTGGAGAATTTTTATAGAGGTGATAATGTGATAATGGTTTTTTAAAAGCTTCAGAAAGTTTATAGAAATGTAATAAAAACAGGCCATGACTGGCAACTACGAAGGCATTGGAGGCCCTAGAAACTCTTTCAGTAGAGTGCGGGTCAGAAAGCCAGGCTGCAAGACATCAAGTAGGCAATAAACATCTGGGAAGAGATAGCTAAAATCACCTGTTTTCATTCACAGTGTAGCCTGGGATTTCTTCACCTGCTTGTGAGGAACCAAAAATAGAAATTAATGCAAAACTTACTTTTTAAATATGTTATATTTGATTATTTTAAAGTTGAAATATCAGATACTGTGTTGGTCTTAAGAACATTTTATGAGGTAATTTGTAGTTTTGTTTTTTTTAACATTTATATCCTAGTATACTTGCAACTTTGTCCTATAGATGCCCATGCAGTATGATGGCATGAATTAACACAACACAGAAATTGAGATCAGTTGACTGTGTTCTCTGCTAACTTTGTATAGTAATGCTTCTCACTAGAAGAGAAACCAGTGTTTAAAAACTGAAGATAAGCTCAACAATGAATTCAGGTCAGACTAGGGTGCTGGTACAGGTATTTTGAGGAGATTCTTGGATCTTCAGAAAGTTCACCTATTGGTACTGACTGAACTTGTTAAATGAGATTGTGCCAAAAGTAAGTTCCTGGCAGAATTTTAAAATAATCTCTCCTAAACAGTACTATTTTTAATAACAGTAGATAGACAATAGTAATGAAAGACTTCAATTACACAAAATTGGTTACTCATTAGATTTGATATTCAATGTCTTGTTAACTCCAAATTCCTCTTGCTGTTTATTATTCAACACTATTAACACATGGCACTCCATCTTTAATCTAATCTAATCCCCACTGTCCATCAGATCTTTGACAACTACATTAATTTTCATTAATTTAGCACACATGACTTGGTCATACACATCACAGCCATTAATAATTGTTGGAAGTTGTTTAATATTTCACATGAAGAATTCTGCTGCTCATATTTCAGTTCTAAATTAGATAACTTTGGTATAAAAACTGTTATGCCTAGAAAAACAGACAAGCTCTGGACAGATTGCTTTCTCTGTATGACTTACAATTGCTTATATCTGGAAGACACATAATCACCTTCAATTGTTGTTTTGAAAAAAAAAAACATTCTTCTAGAAGCTGTGGGTACTGAAGGAGGGAGAACATGGTTAAAAACAAAACAAAACAAAAATGTTCAAAAAAAGAAAACAGTGCTCATCCCCTTTTAAGAGCTATTCACATGAAAAATTGCTCTGCATAAACTTGATCTATATGTTTTTCATGGTTATTAGTAGTAATGAAGATGCATTAACCATATTCTCTTGATAATGCTCTAGCACTTTCTTAGTACTTTTATCAACATATAAATTTTACAACTGGCAATATGGGAATTCTGACTAGTACATTTTTGTGTATAAAAAAGGGTAACAACATTATAACTTCTTCATATCTGGGAATTATGAATCCTGACTTGCAAACAAGCAAAACTAAAATGCAGCAGAACTTCAGTACCATGATAGCTTTTCTTTATACTGTCACTTACAGGAAATGGGAATGTATTCAGGCTGCTGAGTGGAATATAATGCCAGAGGTGAATGCCTAGTTAATCCAGAATTTATGAGTTTTTTCATTTCATTCATTCTTTTTTCTCAATAAACATACATTGAGTGCCTTCTCTGTTGCCATCCTATAGTAAATGTAAATTAAGAATGCTCTACTTCAGTAGGAAGCATCTAAAAAATGAAAGTAAGTGATGCATAATCACTTTATATCCTTATCTCCATTAGGAAACATTATTTTAAATAATTTTTGGAAGGACATTTAAATAGCTCAATTCCTTAAAGATGAAACTTGATGCCAAAGGAACCATTTGAAATTTTTTTCACACTTCATTGAGTTATAATGAATAGATCTTTCTTTTATAAAGCTGAATTTCATATTTTAAATTTGATTTGTCCTACCTCCAAAAGCAATGTAAGTCTCTAATACCTAGCCCATAACATTAGCTAGTAACATTAGAGAAAACTTTATGGAAGGAAGAAGTCTAGTGTTCTTTCCTTTTTATTATAGAACTATGGATCTGTTCTGTTTTACAGCAACATCTAGTAGTGCAAGGATATAGCTGTCATATTAAAAGTAGAATTGCCATGTAAGTGCTGACAGCTAGATCTGGGAGAAAGAAATTATAATAAAAATCAAGTTAATTAAAATCAAATAAGTAGATCTCTTAAAGTTGATTTTCAATTTTCCATTTTTATGAAAAAAGCAAAATGTGAGCTATTTCATTTATATTAGTGATTTGGGCACATTAAAAACACAAACTTCAATATTGTCATGGAGCTGGACTCCCCTTTACAACTAAAATCATCTATAATCATAACTGGTCTTCAAGATAATAGCCCTGAGATACTGCAGGATTCTGAGTCATTTGGGAATTGTTCATCTAAGAAATGTTAACTTGGTGCCCTCTATTTGCCGGGCACAGTTATAATACAGGTGCTGGCCACGAGACAAAATTTGAGAGAGAGAGTAGTGGTTAAGGGAGTTGATAGCTGCTGAGAGCTAGAGTCAAATAAGAATAGACCTTTGGATCTGCGATGTGAAGTCATTGGTGACTTGAGGAATGGCTTTAGGGCAGTGGCACAGCTGGAGCTTAGTGGACCAAAGACTGAGGAAGCAGAAGCTTCTTTAATATACCTTGAAAAAATATGTTATAAGTAAAGAAAGAAATGGGATGGTAACTTGAAGGGAACAAGGGTTCAGTAGAGAATTTAGCATACGTATACATATACTCACCACGGTTGTATGCTAATGGAAATGATACAGTAAAGAAGGAGAAAATGATGATGCAGGAGAGGAGGATGCAGGAATAACACTCTCTGAAGGTCAGAGGAGATGGGATTCAAAGCACAAATGGAGAGTCTGATCTTCCACTGTGGCAGGTGAAAAGATGGACTATGGGTAGATGCTGCTACCATTTAACAAATATTATTGATAAAGTACCTATGATGTACCAGACAATGGCAATATAATAGTTAACAAAAGAGACAAAAATTCTTGCCCTCATGAAACTTGTATTTGAATGGGGATTGGAAGAGGTGAGCAAATGATAACCAAATAAATACATGAAATATATAGTATGTCAGATGATGAAAAGTACTATTGAGGAAAATAAACCAGGTAAGTGGAGAAGGAGGATATGGAGCGCTGGGGTAGAGAATAAGGATAGATTGCAATTGCAGAGAACTGGGCACTTGACATAACTTTTAGAAATTTACTTCATGACTGTCAGACACATTTATTTTCAAAATCATATTAAATTTGGCCTAGTACCCATGTGCCAGGGCTGGTGAGAAACTTACTCTTAGCTTCGTTTCATAGATGCCCCCTTCTGTGAGGACCTCAGGACTTGCCTAGCCTCTCCTTTATAGTCCAATCACAGGTTTTAAGCATATATTTATTTATGTGATTATTTGATTAATATATTCTTCTGTACTAGACTAGAAGCTCCAGGAAGGGAACAGTGTCTATTTTGGGCAATTATATTCTCATAACCCAGCAGTGTTGGCTCTATTTGTTGAATGAATGAATGAAAAGTAAATAAGACTGTTTTCCATAAGCGGTGTTTTTAAGAATCTCATTATTTTATTATTCTGTAGTAACTTTAAATTTTCACTTCTCACTTTATATAGCTGGTCTAGTAAATGACCTTTTTCAAAGCAGACAAGGTGTGCTTTTATACCAATTAATTATGTGAAATAGAATCATCCTCTAAGTGTAAATAATGCCTCTCCATTTCTTTCTTTAACAGGACCAATGCCAAAGGTGCTCCCCTGAATATAAATAAGGTGTCTAATAGCCTGATTAATTTTGGAAGAAAGTTGATTTCCCCAGCAATGGCTCCAGGCAGTGCAGGTGGCCCTGTACCTGGAGGCAACAGCAGTAGCTCCTCCTCCGTTGTGATTCCTACCAGGACCTCAGCAGAGACCCCAAGGCATCACTTGCAACAGCAACAGCAACAGCAGCAGCAGAGGCTGATGAAATCAGAAAGCATGCCTGTACAATTGAACAAAGGTAGGAAAAATTACTAGTAAATCCAAAGAAAACATTCACTATGTAGCCTGGGATTTCTTCACCTGCCTGTGAAGAACCAACCTCCTAGAATAGAAATTAATGCAAAACTTACTTTTTTAATATGTTATATTTGATTCTTTTAAAGTTGGAATGTTAGAGTTAGTCTTAAGAATATTTTATGAGGTAATTTTTTTTTTTAACATTTATATCCTAGTATACTTGCAACTTTGTCCTGTAGGTGCCCATGTAGTATGATGGCATGAATTAACACAACACAGAAATTGAGACCAGTTGACTGTGTTCTCTGCTAACTTTGCATAGTAATGCTTCTCACTAGAAGAGAATCCAAAATGAGAAGTTCCAGTACCATGGGGCTTCACTAGTTACAGCATTCATTGGTGTGTTGCAGTTGTTTTGAGGAAGTGGGCCACTAGGCTTGTAGTCTCTCACCCAGCTGCTTCACTTCTAAGGAATACAAACTGGAATCTTAAGCAGTGGGGAGAGAGAAACTAAAGAAAACTTCAAGCAGCCAAAGTAAGTGTATGAGTCCATAAACTAAAAGTTAGAACCACAGAACGTTAGAGCAGAGGAAACCTGGGAGATCATCCAGTCCTTATCTCCCACTGGATGAGCGAGGGCACTGCTGTTGGTAGCAAATTTTCTGCTGGGACTCAGGTAAGCTCATTTCTGTTTCAGGGCCTTTCCAGAGCTTCACCTCCCTCATGTTTTGTATTCATAAGAGAGCACTTCAGGTTCTTACTCTGATCCTTTGTACTCTTATTTTTCACCTATTTTTGAAGAGTCATAACGTATTAGGTCCCCCTTTTCATAAGAAATTGGAAACAGCTACATTTATTCTTAGTAGTAGGACTCTGCTAACTGTACTCTAGAAGCAAGAAGTTGTAACTTGATGGCAAAAAATATTTAAAAAGCAATCCTAAGACCTCACAAGCAGTCTAGGGCCACTTAGTGTCAGAGCAAACATCCTGACTCAAGTATCATTCATGTCTTAAAGGGATCCCTCTGTTATATCAGTGCTCAATAATTAGTGTTGACAATAACATGAGTAATATTGTCAGTAAGATTTTAAAACTATGTTCCATATACTCTGTTTAAGGAGATTACATTCAAAGTTAGTTTCTAGTTTTACATAATGCCATTTAAATTGGTAAACTTATGTTCAATGGACTTTCTTCCCCAATGATATAAATGTTGAGTATTATTCAATGAGTGTGCAGACTCATGCACACACACATGCATGTCTGTATTCTTCTATTGGTTACATCATGTTATCCTTCTATTCAGTTTTTATTTGCCTATGTAAAATACTAGATTTTGTATAATTAGTATTTAAATTTTTATGAGAATTTTCAATTTACGATGCATAAGAATATCTCGGGCGTGGTGGTTCACGCAAGTAATCCCAGCACTTTGGGAGGCCGAAGTAGATCACAAGGTCAAGAGATAGAAACCATCCTGCCCAACATGGTGAAACTCCATGTCTACTAAAAATACAAAAATTAGCTGGGCATGGTGGCGCACACCTGTAGTCCCAGCTACTCAGGAGGCTGAGGCAGGAGAATCGTTTGAACCTGAGAGGCGGAGGTTGCAGTGAGCTGAGATCGCGCTGCTGCACTCCAGCCTGGCAACAGAGCCAGACTGCGTCTCAAAAAAAACGAATCTCATTGAAAATTACATTCTTTTATTTTTAACGTAGAGCTGTCACACATGATTTTTTTAAAAAAAGACACCAAATCATTAGCATGTTGTAAATGTATTTTAATGCCAGGAGATATGCCCATTTCCAGAATGGAAATGAATGTTATTTTACATATTTCTTAATTGTACTGTTTTATTGTTCTAAACAAATACGATTTCAATATTGCTTTGATAACAAGCCATAGTCAGTTGTAATTCTAACTGATGGCAGGCAAATGAGTCAGAGAATCTCTTAATGTTGTAGCTTAAATTTTCTAAGGAACTAAGCCAAATGACTAGAAATATAAAGTTGTGTCTCCAAGGAAATGTCAAGTATTAATATCACAGTAAGTGAGAAAGGAAGTGCATGGAGATGGAACAATTGATGAAAACCAAGTCCCCATTTATAAGGAGACAACAGAGCACTTAAGCAAAGTATTTGGAACATGATTATCACTAGGGCATTTTAACTGATCCCTGTGCTGAAAGGAAGTAGCCTTGTTTGGCAGCCCTTCTATATTTGTACTTGTGGTTTGTTCTTCTCATGTCAGTCTACCAAAAACAAAAACTTGTTTACCTTCAGATTAACTACAAATGTTCCTGCTAATGCCTCTTCCTGCACAAAGGTTTGGATAAAACAAAAGGCAAAGAGAACAGTTTATAGAAGTAGAAGATAGTGTAGTTTGCTGCTCTTCTCTATTCATCCATTGATGAGCCCTAAGCAACACCCTGAAGCTCCCTGACCCTGTTGTTTCCTCACCCTGAAATAAGAGATCTGGGCTAATCCCTGGAGAGCCTCCCACCTCTAAAAATCTATGGTTGTTTTGGTAGAGCATGTATTGATTAACTCTACAATGAAGAATACTTCTCCAACATTGGTTCTTTATGCTGGTACTTCCCACATGTATCCTGCTGTGCTGTCACACTGACAAAGCTGCAAGCATATCACCTGGTCCCATAGATCAGTGAACACAATATTTAGCCTCTCAGGAGGCTTGTGTTGCGAAGTGATTTCTATCTCAGAACAGAGTCATCTACTTAATGCCTTTGAGGAAAGATAATGTAATAGTCTTTTTAGTGTACTCTGCTGGAAAATTTGAAAGTTATGTTGAAAAATGGTTGTTTATAAAGATGAAACTTTATGGTTTTCATAATCAGTTAACTTTCAATTACTTGTGCTTATATGCTTATATAGGGGGACAGTTGTGTTTGTAATCCAAACTCACATGTGTTGCTTGAAGTACGTTGTGTAGTTTGTCTATGTGTTGGGGTAGGATAGTGAAGGAGCAGCCCAGATGTCCCCTATAATTTTTTTGGTGATATTTAATGTTAAAATGAGTGGTCAGTCTCTAAATATACATTAATAAGTGATCTAGAAGCAGCAGAGTAAAACAGGTAGCAGGCACAGAATTGAAAATCTCCTTCAAATATACAGAAAGTAGGCACACCATTTATCAGTGAATTTAGAGTTCACATGCTATGAAAATCTGGGGCCCATTTCCACTAAAAGCTATTTATCACTTGTTTGTGGTATGTTCCTATTTATAGATTTTATTTCAATTATAGGAGGCTAAATGTGTGTACTGTTAATTGATGATGATGGTATAATTACAACTTAGCAGTTTCCAGATTAGCTGGCCATACTGTAAGTCATAGTGGTCAGAACACTGAGGATATGTCATTTAACTCAAAAGTTGATTTTTTTTTACTACTGTATATATTATATAAAAGCTCAAGGGGAAACAAGTCCATTAATCATAAATGATCATACATAGAAAATATGATGCTTTTTTAAAATGCTTTTTTCTTTAGCTTGTCTGAAAATAGCATAGGCCTTCAGATGGTGATATATCCAGAGAATGATTCTGTTAACAGTGACTACGCTTAGTGTTGAACTTTGTCATCCAGGAAGGAAATCAAAGAACCAAAAAGTCTTCCTTCCAAATGTTAGTGCACCTCAGATTCTTCATGAGATTTCCTGTTATGCTCCTTTTCCTTTCTTATGTTCTTAAAATGCACTTGGTTTTTTTTTTTCCTGTTTCCTTTGTCTATATTTTAAATTGCTTTTTGAATTTGAACATGTCATTATTTTAAGCACTTACTATAAGTCCAATTTGTAAATGAAATCTTGCCTATAATAAGTATATCAAGTTAAGGGTATGCAGTTCACAGATTTATTTTTACATGTTGACATTTATAAGTACATGTGGTAACTTAAGAAATCTTTTCATTACTTAATATGAAATTAGAACTTATTTAGGTCTTTATCTTATCACTGAAGAAGTTGGTTTCAAGTTTAGTTAAAAATAAATTTTGTCTGATATAGGAGGAAATCAATTTCAAAAGAATGCCTATTTTTAAACAAATGACATATAACAATTTTGGATGAAAGAGAAAATATAAAATCACACTAATATTTGTAGCATCATGAAATATGCTCAGCAAAATCTTTTGACTGCTGAAGTTTCCTATACTCTAGTTGAAACTTGTTTGTGTTTTTTTTTTTTTAAGAAAAACACAAAACATTCCTAGGAAACATGCTTTCAAAAATTATTTTCTTTAAAAATACTTTATATTAATTTTTCTAAGCTTGTGCATTATTTTGGTTTGTACTGTATTTTTAGTAATTTGATTAAAGCATTAGAACATTCAGTAGAAAAGTGAAGTTGATTATTTCCTTTTTATGAAATCTAATTATTTTTTCTTATGAAATCCAGGCGATGTAGTTACAGGAAGCGATGCTCAGGTTTCTGTTCCTGTCCAGACTCTAACTGACCTCCAAGGTACAGTTACCATAACAACATAGTGTTTCTTTTTCTTTGCCTACAGTATTATCATTGCCTACTCCAAAACTCCATTTTTCTTTTTGCCTACCCTCCATTCATACTGTTTTTAATTCACTACCATTGTTCAGCCACTGAGTGGCACTATTGTTTAGAACAAAAGTTCCCTCTCATGTCATACCTTGGTGATGCCGAATATGGCTGTGATGTGGGTTTTCTATTAGGTGTGCACAAGCCTCTTTGCAAAATAAGATTCACCCTATATTTTGTGGTTATTATAACATACTATACTTTGTGTGCCAGCTCACACTGAGGTGTTCTTTTTGTCATACTGGTGATCTGTGACAATATTTGACCAATTAGTTCTGAAATTAGAACACCTTATGTGCTATAATTAGCCAGAAATACTTATATTTTACCTGAAATAATTACAACCTGATTTTGAAATGCTTTTAAGTATTGCCTTTGAATTATGAATTCTATTAACACAAAGTACAGTTTAGCAAATCTTCATATATGGTAACTGGCAATGGTTTTTAAAAAAGAATGTTTAAATATCATATCCATTTGTTCAAAATATAGAAAAAAATGTAGTTTTTAAATATAAAAAGTGATCATCTACCTCCTATGCAATTTTAAAGTATATAAATATTTAAAGTGGCTGCATTAATCTTTTATTATGCAGTCTTTTAGATGAAATATGCCGTAGAGAGGATTTCCATGTTAAATGGAAGCCTGGAGTAACTTTAAGAATCTTCTATTCAAATTCAGACTAAAATGATAGCAGTATTAATTAAAATCCGTATCATGTTTTTCTTAATTTAAAATATCCATATAGTCATGCTAGTAGTATTAAAATACTGCTTTAATAATGATATGTCCTCATATTATCCATTTTTGGAGGGGAGAACAGAAAAGAATGGGTTGTGATTAAGAGATTGATGTATGGGGTTAACTTAAAAAACAAAAACCCACCATGTTGTGGCAATAGAGAAGTAAGCTTTCACTTCTATATATAATTCTGTGTCTCACAGGCGTAGTTTCTGGAGGTATTCTGGTAATTGAACCAGATGAACTTCAAGGGCTTTTCTAACTCAGGGATTCCATGAAGAGCTGTTCATTCTTGCTGTCTGTTGAATGATCTACATAATAAAGGAGTATGATAGCATGGACAAGAGGAAAGGCAGATAATGTCTACATGATTTCTCTTTAGCTTTGCACTTAGATGAATATAAATGTGATCGTCTGATATGGAGAGAATTTACAAGACTTAAATTTATTTTCTAAAATTAAATTCTGAGCCCCACAGGCAACTTTTTAACATGTGTTTTGTTGTCCCAATGTTAATTGCTACAGAGTAGATCTTTGGCTTCTCTGCAAGACATGGGATATGAGGCCCAACTTATACCTGTGGGAAGAAAAGCTGAGGGTTGGCTTGCTTATTTTGACTTCTGCTTCTATATTATTGATAAATCCAGTTTTTTTCCTACAAACCAGAGCCACAGCACTAATGTAACTGTTTAACTAGAACTTCAAAGAGGGAGGTTATATTGTTTTGTTCATATACCTTGTGTTATATAAGTAGAATTATCTCATTCATTTATTCAACAAGTATTTATGGAGTGCCTGCTGCTGTGTCAAACTCTGTTTTCATTGGTCCCTTGGCTTTCCCTACAGCTTTACCTGGTCATTTGGGCATTACCTTTGCTTTAGATGACCCAGTTAAGACTACATAGTCGGGAACCAGCTCTTTTACTAGATACCCTATTCAGAATCGCCTCTGCCTCCCATACCATAGCAGAGATTTGTATCAGTCTGATAAGGAAAGTTCCAGCAACTTTAATAGATGTGAATCACAAATAAATAGTTTTTAGTCTGTGGTAATGATTTTGACAATGATAGACAATGAGAGTACACCTACCTAATTTGGGGAAGTCACTTTTCGTCTTCCTCGATGTATTCCCTGAAAAGCACCAAGAAGCAAAGGGAAGTAGAAGTAAACCAAAATAGTGGTAGCAGCAAAAAAATATTCTATCTATGCTTAATATAATCAGTGTCAAGGAATTAAACTAGTTAGACTTTCCCAAGTGTCTTTTTTCAAAGCAGTGAAGTGAATTTCAAGAAATAAAGTAAATATCAATACTTTTGATGATTCCTTGATTATAGGTAGTCTTTTTAATGAAATTTTATGTTTGTATCTTTGACTTTTAACACAGCAGTTACATGGGCTTTTTATTTTTAAGAAAAAGCCTGAATATAAAATGAGATTCTATAATTTAGATCAGTAAGTAATTTTTAAAGAATTATTCAAAAATTTCATTTTATATCTTGCAGTGTAGGTTGCAATCACACACCCAAAAAAAAAGCCACAGCAAACTTTGTTTATCAAAGACTTAACTCAGTGAGGTTCTTCAAAATTAGTTTTAGAAATTGCATACTTACCCCAGAAACCTTTGTCAAGAGATATTTACAAATTTATACACACACATACACGACACATGTTATTTTTAAAGAGAATCTCGAATTTGTAACAACAGAAGTACAGTCAGCCCTCTGTATCCATGGGTTTCACATCTCTGGATTCAGCCAACTACAGGTCAAAAATATTCAGAAAAAAAATGAGTCTCCACTGAACATGTCCAGACATTTTTCTTATAATTCCCTAGACAATATGGTATAACCACCATTTACATAGCATTTACATTGTATTAGGTATTATAAATAATTCAGAGATGACTTAAAGTATAAGGGAGGATATGCGTACATTATATGAAAATAGTACTGCCATTTTATATAAGAGACTATGGCATCCTTGGATTTTGGTATCCACAGCACTCTTGAAACCAATCTCCCATGGATACTGAGGGATGACTAGATTTAGGTATTAACATGTAATGTACCTTTAGGAAAGAAATACAGATTTTTAAAATAATTTCCATAGGCATCTTTAAAAATATATTTGTATGTATACATTTGTGTTATGGATGTAAATATGCACATACATACACACAGATATCTATAACATCAAATTGTCTTAAATATAAAAAGGTTAAAAAAGAAAGTTCCTGTCCAGGTAACCACTGTTGATATTCTTAAGGTAAAACTAAAATATATGATACTAGATGATTCCAATTAATTAAAGGTACCACATGAAAAATGGGGTGGGGGGAATCTCCATTTTCTTCTCCCACCTTTCTGCCAGCCCATTTCCCCAAGGGTAACCATTGTTAAGTTTCTTATGATTTCTACCAGGAGAAAAAAATACATATTAAATTGAGGCATAATGTGGGAGTCACATTAATGTGGTAAGAGCTCACTTGTTTGGAGGTGACTTTCTCTCTGGCCCATCAAGAAGAAAGCACTGACAAAAATGTCCCAGTGTAAATGAAAAGCAGCAAGTTGGTAGAACAAGGAGAGGGGTATCAAGTCAACCGGGGTAGAACAGAGTAATGACAAGAAAAAGAGACAGCTTCCACTCACAAGAGTGAGGGAAGAGACCAAAAAACCAAAAAATGGTCCTTATAGATGGCACTATATTGATTGGCTGCTCTGGTTATTGTTGAGACGTGATAGACCTGAAGCACAACAAGTATTTCCATTATGTTCAGTATAATCACTTTAAGACAGAGAAATAGATGTAAAATGAATTTTGGGAAGTGTCGGTTAGCTAGAAAATGCATTTTTGTGGAACATCTATTCCAGAAGACATTGAATAAATGAGTTGTTTTTGGACTGAAAACAAGATCAGAATTTGCCCTTTACTTTCAAAAGGCCTCATTCCATTTTGCTTTAATCTAATTTTAGGTCACATTTACATCATCCCACATGGCACAACCCTTCTGGGAGGGGGAGGGTGGTACAGTTTTGTCTAGCATGGGCTCTGGAGTCAAGCCCGAGTTTGAATTCAGGCTCCATCGCTGCCTTGCTGGATGACCTGGGGAAGTTACTTAACCTCTTACTTGTAAAGAGAGAATAAGAGCAGCTGCTTCAAGGTTTGTTGCTGGACATCATCACAGCACCTGTTGCATAGTGAGGGCTCTAGGGTGCTACCTGCTCAGGTAGTGGTAATGATAGCACCATTATGTGCTTTCCTCAAATACCTCTCTGACTCTCAGAATCAAATAATTAAGGAGCTCATTCCACACATCTATCTTTTCTTAATTATTATTTCTGATATTCTAAAGACACATGTTTGCATGCAGGTACCCAATCCAACAGTGTTTGACTTTTGTGGTCAGGCTAGAGAATGTCTATTCCAGGGGCTTCAAGTACAACCTGTGTCTGTTCACTCTTGTGACAGCAAGATGCATGTCTTTAATTAGTAGACATTAGCCTTTTTGCTGTCTATCACTCAGGTCTGCAAGGAAACAAACTATTACTATATAGGGACCAGATGCCTCATTGTCTTGGTCACTATATAAAGTCAAGGGTATCCCCTTTCTGTGGCCACAGAACAGGGGTTTTCAGGCTTTTCCCTTTCTGCTCATCTAGGCTATACCTTCCCAGCAAGGCCCCCCCGTAGACGACCTAGCCTCCTGAACATTTTGCCTTTGGGTGTCCAGTGTCCACCTTCCTCAGCTGACCTCAGGTGTACTGAGGTTCTACCTGTCTGTTTAGTAACATACCCACCCCCTTTTCTTATTTTGCATCAAATTTAGTAAGAGAAAATCCATGAAAATATTATTCATGGGACATAGTAAGAGCTCAATAAGCATTATTTTTCCTTCCTCTTTCCTTCTCTCCCAGCCATTTTGCAGTCAGGAATCTCCACTGATGCCTATGAAGCTCATTCAGTCATTTTAGGCTCTCGACAAGTTACCTCCATTGACATAGAGCACACAGGGCACACTACTTTTATTGAGTGTTTCAGAGAGAGAAAGAGAATGAATGGAGGAAATAAGATAGCTATACACAGCTATGTCTCATCCATAACTTTGTGCAACTAACAAAAAAAAGATAACTTATTCTGTGCAGATAGATGTAGCTCACACCAGGGCACA